GAGCTCTTTTACAACCACGGTATCATTGTATAAACAACATAAAAGGGGCCCTGGTGGTTATGCGTTGGGCTGCAATCCTCATGGTTAGCAGTTCGAAACCACCAGTTGCTCAAGGAAGACAGGCTAGGCTTACTACTGCTGTAAACAGTTACAGTCTCGGAAATCCACAGTGGTAAACTATGAGTCAGCATTGAATCGATGGCAGGGCCCAATTCTACCTTGTCCTATAGGATTGCTATGAGTAGAATTGACAAAAAAAAAGAAAACGCATTGACTTGATGGTAGTGAATTTTTTGATAAACAAAATAAAAAAAGATTTAAAAACTAGTCAGAATAGGGCAGCATACAAGAGATATTCAGAACACATTCAAATAACCTAACATGCATGTTAATATGCATTGAGATAGAAAGAATACTTGAAGTGATAATGGCTTAGAATTTCCCCCAAATGAATAAAAGATATAAATAAAAGCTATGAAAAGATGTATAAAAACGTTTGGCTTTTTTCTGCCTGAAGTCTTAATACTATTCTCCAGATAATACTTATCAAAGTTTATATTTTATATCTAAGAGGGAGCTTTTAAAAGTTCATGTAAAATTCCATTATCTTTTAATTCCATTTTCCATAAACTTTTTGAAGCTCCCTCATATTTTCTCTTTTAAGTTAATTTTTAAGGAACTCCACAAACCTTCTACCAGTGAAGCAACTACAAAAGGTAAAAATTATTTTTTAAATTTCTGTGCAACTTTAACTTCTTTCAGTACCATTGATTCTTGATCATAGCTACCTCTTGAAAAGGTTGAACACTGACCTTTGTTTTTTTCTACATGGACTCTGTGTATTCCCTCCATCTTCTCTGATGCTTCCTTCAATATTGGAATTTGAGATTTAAATTTTTACCAGTTTTTCAGATGGAGGAATGCCAAATATGATCTTCTCTTTTGGTTGTCTAACTCCAGGTCTGTGCACATTTCATTATAACACTTTACTCTGTCTTTTCAAGACACCCTTTGAAACCTTTTATTCAGCTGTTTTACTTCATCCTTCCTTCCATTCACTTTACATATTCTATATTGAAGAACAAGCTTCAGTCTCTCTGACACACATTTTGGTCTTTTTTTTTTTT